CATCTTCATAATTTTAATTTTAGAGAAATACATGAAACAGTTTCATTAAGTATTATATGAAACAATTTCACAACCATATATGAAACAACTTCATCAAAAAGAGTATTATATGAAACAATTTCACAAGATTAAACAATTTCATGAAAAAATTTCATAAGATTAAATAATGAAATCGACAGATGAAGATGGTTTGCACGGTTTACACAAATGAGGGCGGTTTTCATATGATCACTCCTCTATATATATATATATATATATATATATATACACGAGTTTATCTATATGAATGTTATTCAACCTCTTCCTATTAAAGACATGTATCTAAGCTTCAACCAAACTGTTTCTTCAGCCTCCAACCTCCCAACACCTGCAGCAACCCGAGCACCTACCTCACTTGCAACCAACTACTTCTTCAACATCAACCTCACCTCAGTTCCTACTCCATTCATGAAATCGATAAAAAGCGATTTTGATTATGAACAACCGATCAAAGGACCCTTGTGGTTTTTGTTTCCAATTGCTAGTGGAATAACTTGATTTTGACGTATTTAGGGTTTTGATTTTGAGTTTTGGTGCATGGAGATAGAAGTGGGAGAGAAAGGGCGCAGGATTCACTAACGATAAGGACTAAAATCGTTACGGAAATTAGCCTACTTATTACACGTTACAATTAAAATCTTGTTGTGACGTCACAAAATACCCAATTTTTATTTCAAATGATCGAAACAAAAAAGAAAATTCAAGTCATAGTCAATAGGTCAATTTTTATGATCCAACCAGCAGAGTGAATACAGATTATGATATAACCGAATGGATCAGAAAAGGATTATGTTGGGCTTAGCATATCATGGTTATGTCTGGACCCTTGTGGACCCTCTAGATGACGGCATTGGTGCGCCGGCTAAAAAAGAAAAAGAAATTATAATAAATTTATGATTGTTTTAATACTATTTAATAAAGTGGGACCCACCACCTCAATGACGTGTTGCATATATAGCCACTGTGGCTACTGCAGTTTGCAGACTACCTAATTTTAATCAAAATCATTTTCTTTTCTTCCATTTATTTATATATTAATAAAAAACTATTGCTAACAAATGTTTTCCTCTGTTTCAAAAAACATTACAACATGATTTACGAAATGAAAATAATACAGCATTTGATTTCCGACATAATTTTACATAATAGGCTGACCATTGACCAAAATTTTAGAACGACTGTTAATGAAAGATAAATCTATACTATATTATAAAATATTTGATAAAAAATTTTAAAAATCATTTTTTATATGTAAAGTACTGTTTATTAATACATATTACTTAAAACTCAAGATTGTAAATAAATTGTGCGTAAGTATAACTTATTAAAGCTCTATATCTGAATTTGTGTAACTAACTGCAGATAAACATAATCAAATATATGATAAACATCTTATTTTAAATATAAAAAATATAACATATAATTAGAATAGTTATTGAGTTCTAACATAATATTTAATTATTATCTTTATAAAATGTTATATTATTAAACCAAAAATAAATTATTTCATTATTAA